CACACAGGCTAAGCAGGTAGAGTGAAGCACAGTCACGATTTTGCAGAGTGGCCTTGGAAGATGCATCAGTTAGATTGCATTTAGCTGCTCAGCGGTAAACTCAGCAGCAGCCCATGCCCACCTGAAGATGGATCCCAAGGACTCCCAGAAGACTTGACTTCTACCTTCTTCAATTATTCTCTGAACACCCGAGCCTCAGCGAGGTGGACCTGCTGGTTCTTCCCATACACACATGCCTTTTATCCCCACTGTACCTGTTCATACTTTTCTCTCTCTGGACTGTCTTTCTCACCCTTCTTTACTTGGCTGGCTGTTAGCTGAGAAGCCACGTCTATGGAGCTTTCTCTGCACCCCTAATTGTATCATTAACCTTTTTCTATGTCCCCACAGCAGACATATGCTATGTGTTGCATTAGGATGATCCACTTCCATCTGTCTCCTTCATCCATGAGTGCTGGAAGATCAGGGAATAGTTACTCTTCTTTGTAACTTCACTAGCTAGCACCTAGCAGGTAACCAACACAGATTTCAAGGTGTACAAGTTGAGTTGTAAAGAAGCAGGAATTTACCAGTTCACAAAATTGGGAGAGAGATAGACATTCCCTGGCAGGGAAGCAGCACCTTCAGAGGTACAGGAACATGAAAGGGCAGCACAGGTTTAGGGAAATGTAAACAGTTCGTGAGCCTAGGAGGAGAGAAGTCAGCTGAGAACTCTGAAAATTCACAAGGGGGAGATTAGGATGGGTCTGATGTTCTAAGAAAAGAAAAGAGTTTGAGCTTATTTGAAAGCTTTGAGGAAGCCAAATTGAAGGATTTTGAACATATAAGGGACTTACATGATCAAACTTGTGTTTTTAAACAGATTTGTCTCACAGCTGAGTACAAGGAGGATTAGAGGATCTCAGAGCGAAGCAGAGAGACCATAAAGAAGTCATCCCAAGCAGAGACTGGGGCTAACTGGAGGGCAGTGGCCATGGCAGGAGGAAGACTGCACATTCTCATACACAGAGAGACTCATAATCAGCAGTGTTTTGGGATTAATTGACAGTGGAACCAGAAGATGGAACATAGTTTTAACCTGAAGGCCCCTTGCTCACATCCCAACCTCCCTTCCCACAACTCACCTCATGTTCTCCACCCTAAACTACCATCTATGGGCAATGAGGAGAAACCCACACGCATCACATCTATTTCCCAGTGGTAGGAAGCAAAATGAATCCTAAATGTTATGCTGGAAGAGGCTTTGGAGATCGCCCAATCCAACCCCAAATTTGGTTCATGCCTCTACAAATCAGGAATAGGCAGCTGTCACTCAGCACCAGGTTTAATTTGTCTGTTGCACTTGTTTCAAATATTGTTTTGCACGGTTTCTTCTTCCTCTGTCCCTCCCTCCCTCTTCCCTCTCCCTCCTCCTCTATCTTCCTTCTTTTCTCCTCCCTCTCTCCCTCACTTCTTCTCTCCCTTACTCCCTCTCTCCTTCTCTCTCTCTCTCTCTCTCTCTCTCTCTCTCTCTCTCTCTCTCTCTCTCTCTCGACATTAGAATGCAATATTTAAGCCAGATATAGTGACACATGCCTGTGGTCCCAGTTACTTTGGAGGCTGAGGCAGGAGCATGAGTTTGAAACAGTCTTAAAAATAAAATTAAAAGGTTTGGGGTATAGCTCAGTTATAGAGCATTTGCCTACTAACCTGCGTGAAGCGCTGGTTGAATCCCCAGCACCACATACACACAAAAGTAATATTTGAGGGCACTTGGCTGTCTAAAGTAGTGTTCAGTCTATATAGTAGAGAACATTTGTTGAAAGAGGATGAGCAAGGCACATTTAAGTTTGCTTTTCCTGAACCAGTAATCTTTGCACAGGATCTTGGTTTAGAGGTTATCAGATCCATGATTCTATTTCCTATGGGGACTTAGCCTAATCAGTCCTACAGAGATTAAAACCTGTCAAGCAATAACATTGTAGTTCACATGATTTCAAACCATGGCTAAAAATAACCACTATGGGTATAGATTTATTTTAGTTACCGCTAATTGGAGTTCTATATGCCTCACTTACTATATGTCAGATTCTTTTCCCATGCTTGGGAAATTTGTGCTATTACTTCTGCAAATAGTCTTTTTATGTCATTTGTGCTGACTCATTTTTCATTATACTGGTTTTTTTTTTTTTTTTTTGCATCATCTTGCAGCTGTTAAATTGTTATTTCCTGGTTCCTTATTATTTTTAAGAGATTTTTTCCTTTCATGATAGCTAGCTGCAGTGCTGTCTTCAAGATCTGAAAGTCTGTCTTCAGTTTCATTCAAGAGGTTTTGCCAGCTTTCAATGGAATTTTTAATTTCCTGGATATCTCATTGAATCTGTTTCATGCATTTGAATTCTTTCTTATATTGTTCATTCAAGGTTTCCATCATTTTTCTATGCTCTTCTACTTTTTGTGTCTTCTGTATCATTTTTACTGTTTTTTCTCTTTAAAAAATTAAAAAAGAATTAAATCTTCAAAAAAATAACCGCTATGTTATTTCAGAAATGTTAACCACTGACTAATGCACACTCATTAAGATGTACTATTTTAAAAAGTGTGGTGAGGATATGGATAAACTGGAATTCTAACACATCATGGATGTAAATATAAAATGATAGTTACTATGGAAAATGGTATGGGGTTTTCTCAAATATGTAAAAATAGAACTACCATATTATCTAACAACACCACTTCTAGGGATATATCCAAAATAATTAAAAGCAGTGTCTCAAAGAGCTTTGTACAGCTAGGTTGATAACAACATCATTTGCAGTAGCTACAACATAAAAGCAACCCCAGTGTCCAGTAACAGATGAATAGATGGTAAACAGAATGTGTTATGTATGTATACAATGAATATTACTCATCCTTAGAAGGAAGGAAATTCCAACACATGCTACAACATGGCTAAACCTTGAGGCTATTTTGCTAAATAAAATAAGGAGTCCCCCAAAAAACAAATACTGTATGAGTCTGCTGAAGTGAGGTGCTTAAAGCAGTCAAATCCAGAGAGTCAGAAAGTAGATTGGGAGGGTAGGAAGTAGAGCCATTGTATAATAGACAGAGTTTTTGTACTACAACATGGAAGGAGTTCTGCAAACAACAATGTGAGTCTACTTACCACTATGAAACTGTACAGTTAAGACTGGCAAGGATGGTATATTTTATCACAGTTTAAGAACTATTTACCACGTGAGGTGTGCACATCTGCTATCTTATTTAATCTTAACACCCTGAATTTTCATTAGAAATGTAAGTCCCATTTTGTAGTGTGGCAGGTAACACTGAGAAGTAAGGTGAGTTCCCCAAACCATATGACTAGAAAAAACTGGAGCTGAGTTTTACACTCAGGTGTCCTGGCCCCAGGCCTAGTATGGGCTTCTGCCATATCCGGGAGAGGCAGTGTAGCTGAACTAAGTTGTCTGCTTGCTACAGTATAAGAAAACCAGCACATTAGCAATTTGTGTAGAGAGCTGCAAGCATAGGGTGCGGGTAAGAAAGGGAAAGAGACAGGAAAAAAAACTAGAGCTAGGACTTGCAATCTCACTCCCAAACAGCTACTTTATGCTCTGTGTTTAATCTTCCCCTTCCTAAATCTTACCAGGGCAGGTGTGAGTCAACAGTAAACAGTGAAGAAAGGTCACCCAACATTTCCTCTGCTGGCAAATCAGAAGTCACTGCCATGGAGACAAACTGTACATGAAATTTAAAACGATGAAATTTTAACCCATGTGATTGGGAGAGGACATGGCTGTTGATTTTTGAAAGGGCTCCACTAGATGCTCTCTAACTTCCTTCTTCCTGGGAAGGCAAAAGATGACCAGATGCACTTAAAACAGTAATGGAGATCTAGTAGGAGAAAGAGGGGGAGGTAGGAAGCACATGGAGCATGAGCCCACTTAAATCCCTCTGGCTGGATCACCCACCAACTTCCCATGCAGCCTAAGTGCCCCCCCTCCATTGTCTGCCCAAGGCTTGGGCTGCCATAACCACCACCATTTCCATGTCCTGAACTTGAGCTGAATTTAGAAGAGCAAGTCTCCCACAGAGAGCTAAAAATACAGGAAGATCATGCAGCCTCTTACAGCTTTTATTTATCATTCTGTATTTATCATAGTCTTTATTTACCACAGGCCTACTATGCATCAGGCACCGTGCTGACACTTGACAGGTATTAGCCTAGTCTTTCCAGCACTTAGGATGCAATTGCACATACAGGTAGGATCAGATTTCCCAGAATATTTGTCTCAGTGGTCAAGGACAGGTTCAGAATGTGAACCTGGGCCTATTTAGCTCCAAAGTTTCCAGTTTTCTCTACTCCACCATGTTAAGTTCAACAAGCAAGATATGAAGAGCTATGGAAACACCCAAGAGGTCGGAAGCTGCTGGTTCTGCTGAGTCCTTCCTGGAGAAACCCTTACGGAGCAGGATGTTGAAATGTGAAAAAGCAGTTGCCAAGTACACAAGCAGTGAACTGTGATGCAAGAACACACAAGTGCACGGGGCAGAAAGAGTGCGAGGTTGCTTGGGAAATTATAAATGGCTGTTTGATATAAGGAGAGTTGCGTTTTGCTGTGGTTGAGGATCACAATTCCACTGTCTTCAGAGTTTTGAACCATGTTATTTGAACCATATTATGAAGAATCTTGCTGTACACAGCAGTCTGTAATTTATTTTTATAGGCCATGGGAAACCATCAACAGGTTGTGTCAAGGGGTTTGCCAGTAATAGTACTATCTATAAATATTCTTCGTTCTGTAAATTGTGAGAAAATTAAAGACACCTGAAACATTTCAAAGAGGCAAAGACTGTTTTGTTTGCACACAGGCAGTAGCATTACTGGCTAGGATTGCCCCCATAGGCCAGCAACTCAGTGTCGTCAGCCATCTGGGTCCATCTGTATCCTGTGATGTCAGCTAATCATTATAGTTCTTTTCCTAGAATAATGACTCACCTTTGTTTCTCTTATGCTCTAGGAAGGGGTAAGAAACTTCAAGGAACTTCGAGCCAAATTTCAAAACTGTGATGCTCCACCTCTTTTAGGGCCTATTAAATTCACAGCAAGTGTGTCTCAAAAGGGCGACACTGGATGCACATGGCCAACCCCAAGTTTGGCCCCTGGGAAACCCCACCCATCCAACCACAACTGGCCCCTGTCACATGATTCTGGCGGTGAGTCTCAGGCCCCTCAAACCCAGCACATGAAGTTGACCCAGAGGACTAATATCCAGAAGAGCCCAAGTTCTCCAGGACTTTTAGCAAAGTCAACCGCGTGTTCTCCAAGAAATTGCCAGGTAGCCTCTCTGCTCCTAGATGTGAATCAACCGAATGCTGAGACGAACAGCGAGGAGAAAGGAACAGTGGCCAGTAGCTTCCAAGACAAGCTCAGGAAGTGGGAGAAGGTTTCCTCTCAGAAGGGTGTGACATTCTCAGCTCTGCTCCTCGCTGGTGGTGGGGATAAGGCCTTCTGTCCAGAAAAGCAAAAAAGCACAAGGCTTCTTCCAGATAGACCGAGGGGAAAGATTCAAACAAAATGGGCCCAGACACTCCCTTCCCAGAAGGAGCTGGCCCAAAGAAAAGTACTCCCCACCTCTGAAATGCCTCCCTCTCTACATTCCCAAGCCATCAGGAAGAGCCAGGAAAAACCCAGTGTTGCTAGAAGCTCAGCGGGTGGTCCCTGTCAGCCTGTTTATGAACGTGAGCTGGCCATTCCAGCCCCAGGTAGGAAAAGGAAGCCCTGTGGCCCGAGGGAGGGCATTGGGTTTAAGTAGAGTGGTCTTATGTGTGACTTGGGCAGTGGAGCTCGGGAATCGCTGGCCTATCTGCTAACTCGTAGATTCAAGTCTGTATAAAGTGCTTAGCCTGCAGGAACTACATTGTGAAACTGTTTGGGCAAACTTGACTTTGACTCCTACTTTTACTTCTTTTTTTTTTTGGTTTTTCTCCCATACTGGGAACCGAACTCACGACCTTGCGCTTGCCAGGCAGGCGCTTTGCCGCTGAGCTAAATCCCCAGCCCCTCCTACTTTTACTTCTTATAAGATGCATGAACTTGGGCGATCCACATACTTCTTAGAGCCTGCTCTATTTGCCTATACATCAGATGTGTCACCAGAATTCTCTGTCTGCAGCACAACAATCCCCTCTTGTTTCTCAATTCAAAAACTCGGAGTGATGCTGTGTTCTTCCCACCTTTTCCTTCTTTACACAGAAGCCACTAGCATGCTCTGGGCTCTATTGTGAGAGCACTGTATATGTGCAGCTCTTTGGCTTCTTTCTATCTCTGCTCCTGCTCTTGTCTACACCACCATCATCTCACACCTGCACTATTGCAGTAGCCCTCAGGCCTCCCCACTTGTACACTCTTGCCTGTGTATGTGGGCCTCTAAGCTACAAGTGCTACCCTTTCAGCTTGCCTGGGCTGCACTGAATGAAGAGGTATTGTGTTGGGCCACATATAAAGTGTACAATGTAGTTAATGTATATAAATGAAATATCCTTTATGATATATTTTTACTATAATAAAAGTATGTCCAACCTGCAGCCTGGACACACCTGAATAGTTAGTATATATGTAACAAAACTTCCTGTATTTTTTAATATTTTTATTATAACATTTTTAGTATTATAACATTGCTAGTAGTATCGTTTGTACTATTAGTGTTATAGATGTAATGATAACAATTTATCTCGAGCAAAACCTACTTGATACCTTTTTATACTTCTATACCACAGCTGCTAATACTGTTATTTTGTAACAGTAAAAACAAAGCAAATAACAACAAGCCTGAGTTCTATTGAATAAGAAAACTTACCCGTCTGCTTAATAACAATAAATGCCTGGGCTGGGGAGATAGCTCAGTGGAATAGTTCCTGCCTGGCAAGCACAAGACCTTGAGTTCGATTCCTGGTACCAAAAAAAAAAAAAAAAAAAAGAAAAAAAAAAAGAAAAAGAACAATAAACACCTGTCTTCATGGGGCACACACACATAGATAGGTTGGAATCACTGTTCCACTCACACGTGATGTATAATAAATGTGAGTTTCCACTGGGCTGTTGTGAGAGGAAGGCGCAGGAGGCAGAGCTGGCACCACCCTCTGCCCTACCTCCAAGTCCATGCTGTGCAATGGAGTCATAAAAAAATCACTAAAAAATCAACATCATAGTGTTGAAAACCAATGTCTATCATCTTGTAGTGCTGCCATCCTAGCTGTCCAGGGCCCATTCATTGGACATGTTTGCTCCAAAGCATAAAATAGGCCATGTCCCTCTCCTGTTCAAGGTAAACTCCAGCCACACAGGAGTGAGATGTGGTCTATGCCCTACTTCCCCTTCTCCCCCCTAGGAACTGCTGTGCTAGTCCTTAGAAAACCACTCAGGCTCCACCCCAGGTCTCTGCACTTACGTTCCTCTGCCTTGCAGACTCTTCTGCCAGATTTTTGATGTCCAAGCGGACCTTGTTTGTTACTCTATTTGCAAAAGCTACCAAATTGTTTTTGTTTTCTTCATATCACTTATTCCTATAGCTGGTATATGGTTATGCATTTTTTCAGTTGCCTCAGTAAATTAAAAGAGATCAAAGATTATCTTCCTTGCCACCATATCCCCAGTAGACAAAGAGATGAGCACAGGTTGAGTTATTTCCTCAAGAAAATATTTATGGAATAATTGGGTGGGTGGATTCACAGATGGAGAGATTAATGGATGGATGGATTCATGGTTGGGTAGATGGATGGATTTCTTGCTTAAAATCTTTCTTGATTTCTCCATGTACTTAGGTTGGAGACTAAACTACTTACCACAGTCTTCATAGCCATGCATTCTGGACTTTGCTAAGTCTCAGACCTCCCTCCTGTTTCTCCTTCCCTAGCTCACCAGCCATGGTCAATTGAGGGAAGAGAACCACGCATATGTCTTGAATTATCTTGCTTATTTGTTACATGTTTAGCATCCGTTTCCTCTTATTAGAATAGAATTCCTGAAGATAGGATTGCATTTGTTCTATCCCCAGCTCCTACAACAATGCCAGGAATACAATAAATAAACCCTTACTAAGGAAGGGATGGGAAGGGAGAAAAGATGGGTAGAAACACAATGGAATTATTGAGAGAGTTAAGTGAAGTAACTTAAATTTTTAAGTATAATGCCTGGTAAAAATTAGAAGCCCAGTTAATAAGTGATCGTTCATTTTCATTGTCTTCTGCCTAATTTGATAAAAATTTAGCTTTCTGATATTGGAGTTAGTTCGGATATTAGAGTTAAAGCCTCAGAAGGGAAGAATATTACCCTGAGCATCTGGAACTGTGACCCCTGCTGGTAGGGCAAGAAGGATGCTGTCCCTTTACTCCCAGCTTGAAAAGGACAGGACAGGGGCACCTCAGAGGCACCTCAGAGACCTGGCCACTTGCTGAGTTTTAGCATGGATGGTCCATAGGGTCAGCTACATATTCTGCAAACCAAATATCAAGGCACTTGTTTTATATAAGACCTTTCTGTATTATTTTCAGTGTAAGAGGCAGATATGATTTTCATGTATAATATTGAAATTTCTGTTGAAATTGGATTTTGAGTGCAGAAGGACATAATATATAAAATTTTGACTTTAAAAGAAAACTTTAGGATGTAACATTCAGAGATGCCAAGAATCGCAAAGCCAAGAATCACAAAGCCAGTCCTATGCCATGAGCCCTGGAAATCAGATCAAATTTTCCTCCTCATTGTACTCCCGTGTATGGGCCTATCCTGAGGGCTTGAAGAATCTTTTCAGGGAACAGTCTCTCTGTCCCCTCTGAGCAGGTCCGGGGAGGTTAAGTAGGTCATGGTCCCTGCCTGTGGGACCCTGTGGCTACAGGGAGAGAAACCAGCCTCTCTGCTAGTGCCACAGTACTGACATAGGGGTATTGGCAATGGCTACAGATACAGATCACAGAGTGGGTCATTTCTGGAGACATTAAGAAAAACTGTCCAGAGCTTTTGGAACTACCACAGCAGCAGAGCTTTAACAGAGTGAGTTAAAAGCAGGTGGAGATGGAACAAGCCTATAATCTTAGCACAATGAGAGGCTGAGGCAGGATGATCCCAAATTTGAGTCAAGTTGGGCAACTAAGAACTTAGTGAGAAGCTGTCTCAAAATTAAAAAGAACAAAACACTGGGGGTGAGATTCAGCTCAGTGTGAAGGCTCTGACATCAATCCCAATTATGGGGGATGGGTGACAAAAAGAGTTGAAGCTCGCCAGAGAGAGAATGGCATCCCAGAAGCAGGAAGGAACAGAGTCTCAGAGATAAGCAGTGAAGGATGTTTGGGCTGAGTTCAGTCTGGGGAAGGGACGAAGTGAGCACTGGAGTGCAGGGCCCTGTGAGAAGGCCACGGTAGCGGACGGGTAGGCTATGGGTTTGCCTGGGGCCGGGTGCACTGGCTGCTGATTGGAGGGTGGACAGGCCAGGAGCAAGGCTGAGGCAGGAGAACCAGTCATGAGATGGAAACCATAATCTGCACGTTTTCCTGTCTGTGCTCAGCAAACCCACGGGACACCAAGCATCCCCAGCTCCTCAGAACAAAGCCACTGCCTCCCATCAGGTCTCTCGGTCCTGCTCCCCCAAAGCCTCCAAAGCCCCCAGCTGTAGATCTCCAGGCCTTCCTGAGGCAGCCAGCTGCTCTCACTGAGACCCAAGAGAAAGGTAAGGAAACACATGGGCCACGCATGTCCACTGCTCTGCAGGCCATGGCCTGGTGTCCCTCCCTCGGCTTCGACTCCCAGGTAAGGCAGCACTGCTGCCCTTCCCCTGCCTGGGCCTGATGTCCATCACTGCTGCACGCTCAGCTGGACAGCTTGCCTGCTAAATGACAAAGCTGCAGGTTTTGACCCTGTCACTCCCAGGCCGCCTGCCTCCCCTGAGAGCACTTGATTGACTGGGAATCCATCCAAGAGGAAGAGAACAAAAAGTCACTGAACAAGGAGTCAGTGAGCCTTGGTGTTCCCTGCAGAGCCTGTGTTGCCAACACAATTGTGCAGGGGAAGAGAGGTAGGAGCGAAGGGGTGCAAGCCAGTGGGAACTTGACCTGAGGCCTTCTGGAGGCCCTCCAGGGTCGAAAGCGATGGGTCCTGAAACCCAGGGTCCTCCCTCCCGGGTCCCTTGGTGGCAGTGATGTGCCTCTGGAACCCACTCTTCTGTGCTACTTTGTGTCTTGCTCTGCTGTTGAAAGAACAGCTGTCACCCGCACCTCCCACCACTGGTGACCTCCTTGGCACTTTGAATACCCGGCTTGGGTTCTGTGATAGGAGAGGACACTTTCGGGGGTCGTGTGTGGTGATGCTAACACATATCTTACTGTGCCATTGCCACCAGCAGATGGCACATGGAGAGAGCTAGTGCAGGTTTCAGCTGTTCCTTTGACTGCTTTGGGCAGCTTCCTGGTTATTTTCTCTAACTTGACCATGCATTGGAATCACCTAGAAGACTTGCTAAGACTCAGATTGCTGGGCTTTATCCAGCATCTCATATTCAGCTGGCCTGGGTTGGAACCTTAGGATTTGCCTTGTAACAAGTCAGAAAGAGATACTGCTCCTGCTGCTGCTGCTGGCCCAGGGACCACCCTTGGAGAACCGGTGCTACAATCCATCCTAAGTCTCATCCTAGAAGAAAATCCTACATAGAGGGACAGCATTCTCCTAAGTTTACTTTAGTAACATGACTATCTCCACATCAAAGAAGGCTAGGTACAATTTTTATAAATGTTCACTAATTCAAGCCTTAGCCTGCTTCCCTGAGGGGAAAGACAGTTGTCCTAGAGCAGTGAGTGAAGCACCAAGTCTTCACAATGAAATGGCCTCATAGACCCCAGCTCCCCAGCCCTGACTATGGAAGTTTGGGCCTTGTCCTCACTGAGTCATTGTCCTTGTCCATAAGGTGGGAATAATGATATTTCAGTCTCACAGGACCACAGTGAGAACAGTAAGGTGATGTCTAGAAAGATCTTGAACCATGGTCAGTGCCCCTGTAGCCATGCAGGAACAGACAAGCTCGCTGTACCTGCTCTGGAAGAAACAAGGGAGGAAGAGAAAAACCCTGCAGAGGTTCCTACCCTCCAGGAGGCCGGAGTCTCATGTAGGAGATTGTAACCATACCTGAGTCCTAAAGTGGGGGCAACAGCCACAGTGCGGGGACAGGGAGGCACCTGGGTCCCAGATGAGCTGCCACTCCACATCAGGCCTAAGGGAGGTCATGGCATGGACACCACTCCCTTCACCAGACTGCAGCCAATGGCTTCTTCTCACTGTGCTTCTTGCCTTTGCAGTGGACGTGAGAGAAGCCCACGGTCCTCCAGAGAGGTGAGTACACACTCCAGCACTGTGTAGGAGCCTGCTGCAAGCCGGCACTAACCACAAGCCAAGTATCCATGTTGCCCAGAAAGGTTACAAGCAAATTTGCTTTAAATGAAACATTAAAGCATGTAACTACTGTGCTGAAGCTAAGTTGCAGAGATGTCCTCTGAGATATTTTGTTTATTATATGGATGGGATCCATAAATTGAAACATCAGCCTTCCCTAGTCATAAGCCCAGTAGAAACTTAAAGAATGCTCCGGGCAGCTGTGAGCTTGGTAGTGAGAGGAGGACATGTGTCTCTGGGGCACTCCTCCTAAGAACTTTTCCCTGGAAATGGCTCTTCAGCAATCCTCCACCCACGCGGTGTCTGTTGAGCTCTTTGGGCTGACACCCTTTTCACAGAGGCCCTGCGGGGTTGTCTCCAGATGATGGCACAGCTGCTGCTCCCATGCTCACCTCCAGCTCCTGGCCTGAGTTTTGAGTGTTTGCCACTTGCTGCGCAGGAGTCCAGTCCACAGGGGCCCAGACTTGGTACCTCACCGCCCTCAAAATGATGTTCCTATCTGCAAGAAGGCTAGTCTTAAAAGGGAAGCTAAACTAAAAAAACAAATGATGGTGTTACTGCTTCATCTGTCAAAAGTTTATAACAGTGTAGCTGTTGTGTTTGTAACAGAGGAAAACACAAGATTTAGAGTTTATACCAGTGAGGGAGGGGTCATGTTTCCTTGAGAGGCCCAGGGAGGTCTTTACAGCGGTATCAGTTATCCACTGCCACAGCCGGGCTCCTTCATAATCGCTGAAGTGCAGCAGCCCCTACAGTGTGCTTTGGCGTTGCAGCTGAGTCAGGGTGGGGGCAGCCAGGCTTGCTCAGACCTTTGCCTTCCGCAGCAGACTTTCCAGGCAGCTTTGCCAGGACTGGCTGGGTCACCACATGGCTAGGGGAGAGTTTGCATATGGCCAATCTAGGATTGCTGTGGGGCCGGGCTGACTGGACAGTGTGACTTGGTACCATCTGTCTCCTCCTCCAGCAGGCCAGCCGGGGACAGTCGTCACAGTGGCAGCACAACAGCAAGGCGAGCCCCGCAGCATAAGTATGCGTGTGCTGTCCAGGCTTTGTGTGGCACATCCGCTAGCATTCTGCTGTTCAAAGCACCCACAGGGCCAAGTGCAGGGTCCGAGTGGGAGGGCATAGGAGACGGGCGTGGCCAAGGACAGAGAGCTAGAAAATAGGGGCTCTCACCCAATCACCCCATCACTCAGAGGAAAGTGCTTGGAATGGATATGGATGCCTATTGCAGGGTCCACAGGAAAGGTCAATAGTAGCAGAGGCAGGACATGTGAAGTTACCTGTGTTACCCGTGGACCAAGAAAGAGTTTGGTAGAATTTGAATGCAGCAAGTATGGAAGTGGGATTGTAGGGTAGACAGGTGCCGCCTCATGGAGAAACTGGTACACCAAGGGATCGATGCAGTGATCTTGTTCCACAAGGCCCTGGCTGTACAGTGCTAGAAATCATGCACTCCAGGAATTCTAGTTTAATTATCGATTTGAGAGAACTGAACGACAGAATGAGGTCTGCAAGTGGGGCCGCGTCCTGTGTGCATTTGCATAAGAGAAAGAGAATGATGTGGGTGGCTCAGGCAATGGCCTGTGCGCTTCCTAGTGAGCAGTGGTCCCAGTGTGACTGCTGAGAGGATGGAGCACTCCACGGAGCTGGGTCTGTTCATCTCTGGATGTCACACTGTGAACATCTCAGTGTGAGCATGCTGCGATTGTAGGCTTAACTACATGTGCATCTTTCCTGCCTCTTCACTCTAAACTAAGACAACTTCCTGGTACTTTAGGCAAGGAAACAGCAAGTCCTTTCTACTTGGGGACAAACCTGCTGTGATGGGCCTGTGGGGGACAGTGGTCAGTCTTCAGTATGGCACTGTCTTTCTAAGGGACACATAAGGGCAATTCTAACTATTCCCTTTCACACTGATTTTAGAACACAACTCAGGATGGAACTGAGATTTTGCTGCATATCAATTATGGCATAGGCCAGTGGTAGTGAACCTATGGCATGTGTGCCACCGTGGGCACATAGAGTCCTCTCTATCGGCATGCAAGCAAAGTCACCCCAGCAGCCAAGGGTCAGGTAACAATTATTTTTTTAAAACTAGAACCTCAGTATCCAGGTTTAATTGCAGTGTTGGCACTTTGTGATAAATAAGTAGATTTGGCAATCAGTCTCTAAAATGTTCACCAGCACTGGTACAGCCATACTATGGTAAGAATGAAAGACAAGATAGACAAACAGGGACTATAATACTTAGGGGTGGCTTCACAGAAAATGAAATAATTTGATCTATATCCTACACAGTGACTAAGAATTAGATAGTTTCACTCACTTGTTTCAATCTGTGATACTGTAAGGTACATATATATGGGCAGGGTTAGGGAAATAGCCACATTCCTAATAGCTACTTAGTTAGTGGATGGATGGATGTATGCATGCGCGTATGGACTGACCAATGAACAACCAGGATGGACATAGAACATGATCTACAGTAAGGACACGGTAATGAAGAGAAAGAAATAACAGCCAAAAAAGTAGCCTAGTATGCAAAAATAAGAGATGAGGTTGGACTGTGAATATTTGGAGAGTAGTGTGCCTTTAATGAACATGTAAAGACTTTCTTGTCTTTATTATCTAAATGTAGTACAACAGCTCTCTACATAGCACTTACATTGTATTAGGTGCCACGACTCACCTAGAGATGGTTTAAGTATATGGGAGGTGTGTATAGCTTGTAGGTAAACACTAAGAGACTTGGGGATCTGCAGAATGTGTTACCAGCAAGGGGTCCTGGATGCAGTTCCCACAGATATTGAGCACAACTGGCTGTTAAGTGTCACACGAAGGAGTCTGGACTTTGTCTGGTCAGTGATGTTAGAACCCATCAATCCCCTGAGGCCCAATAGCCATGGATATAGTTGCCATGGAAACTGGTTTGAGAAGAAGCTCTCTCATATTTAGGGATTTAATCTTCAATGTGGGTAGTAATCTTCAAGGTAGGTATTAGCTTTAGAAATAGAATATGTAATATCATGGGAAAGGATCTCAGCGATTATCTGGTGGAGCCAGCTTAAAGTTAATGAAAGCCTGTGTTTTAAATCCCAGTGCTATCACTTAATACCTGTGACCTCAAGTATGGCCTTCCCTCTGCAACCACACCTTCTACTTTTGTGAAACAGCAGTATCGATAGTATTTAACTCATACCGTTCTGGGGAGGGTTGAATGATTGTAAAGTGTTTACTGTGGTGTCTGGCACACCACTTAGCCATTGTATACCTTCCCACCAAAGGTAACAATTCATGCTCACAATTCTAGGCTCCAAAAATCCACTCCTGAGGAGTTCAGTACCTGAAAAGTCTAGTTCTTTTCTTTAGAAAAATTTCATTAATTCAATACATATTTATTGAGCATATACTATATACCAGGCATTTTTGTGTACATTGAGAATATAGTAATTAATGCAAAAAGTAGACAAAACAATGAAGTGTGATAGAAATACTCAAAATACTCTCCCTCACTTTGAATACATTTATCCCATCATTCTTGCCACTTTCTGAAGCAATTCTGAATATTCTCTTTCATGAGGGTCTGTAGTTGCTCTGTTGTGGCTGCCTCAGTGTCCTGAATTGATTCAAAACATTTGCTTTTCATGGTCACTTGACATTTAGGAAGAGCCGAAAGTCCACAGTGCCAGATCAGGTGAATCAGGTTGATAAGGACACAGCATAATGTTTTTACAAGTCTGTCTTTATTCCTTGGCACTTGGCAGAAGCATTCTGTACTCCCAGGACTTCCAGAACTGCCCCAGAAAGTGGCAAGAACAATGGGTTAAGTATGTTCAGAGTGAGTGGGAGTATTTTGAGAAGATTAATGACAATGTGTATTTTACTGAATTTGAATGTTTTCTATATATTTCAATCATCCTTTCTATCTTACATGCCTCTGTGCACATACACGCTTTTGTTTATTTCAAAGTCCTACAAGTTGAGCTGGGAAGAGAAGGTTTGACCTCTGTTCCACAAACTCCCAACCACCTGTCCAACCTCTACTTTTCAGTACAGCATCACACCTTTTACTCCTTCTCTACATGACAGTTCTTGAAACATCTAAAGACTACATTCTTCTCTAAAACTCCCATGGTGTCCCACCACTATGCATCAGATGGTCTCTGTGTTCTGGCTGTATTTCTTGCATACACAGTAATCGCCTTGTGAAAAAGGCAGTGTGCCCACAGCAGCCATCTTCCATTTCAAGTACACGAGGTCTGCGCAGCCACATTATCTGATGGAGCAATCGTTACTGTAGGTTAACTACTGGAGCCCACTACTACAGGTTCAAGCTGCTCCTTCACTCCTTAGCCAAGTCATTTACAGCTCACAGCTTTGGTGCTCACATCTGTGCAAGGTACCCACTGTGAGACCCCTTCCTCCTTTGTGGTATCATGAAGACCGAATGAGATAAGTGGTACAAAACATGGGATAGCAGAAGACCTCAGTGGAACTTGGTTTCTTCCACCCTCGCCTCTCCATCCCTCTTACCTCCGAAAGGCGAGTATCTCATTAGTTCCTGAGAGTCTACTCTGTCATCACCTACCTCACCCACACTGGCCAGCATCCCTGCCCAACAAGCCGGTGTCCCTGTGGGCTGTGCAGGTCAGTCGCTTGGCATGGGGCGACTCTCAAGATTGAGGAGTATCTGATATTTCATTTGTCAGCCCTCAGTATGCCTTCTGTCCTGTTAAGAAGGGGCAGGGGGCAGTCTTGACTCAGGGAGTCCCTGGTTCAGCACCAAAGGGGAGGAAAAGACTGTTTCCGGCAGGAATGGAGAGGACTCAGGTGTGCAGAATCTCAGAAAAGGGCTTGCAGGTGGATTTTTCAGGAGTCTCACCTGCGCTTGTAAGCTTTATGTCTTTGTTTTGGTGAAGGTGTTCAAAGCTAGTATC